CCGCTCTGTCAACAACAGCGGCCTCCCCCAGCCCGACTGCTCTGCCCGGTTGAAAACTCCAGACTCGATCAGCCTCTACCCCTCGGTTTTGACACTTCCGAGGGCGGCCGGGGTTGGCCCACAGCAAGTACAGCCCCTGTCCGTCTGTGCGTACCCTGACACCGCTGTCGGACCGCGAGTCGATGTCGCTGTCCTCTTCCTCCGCAGCGGGAAGCAGGGCCTTCTCGCCGAGCGCAACCTCAGCACTGGAAACAAGAAAGCTGTGAGTCGTGTGACGTAGTGCCACACGTAGGCATCTACTCCAGAATACTCACGATGGTGGTGCAGCGTTAGTGGGTGTAGCCTCTCGTCATCATCATCGTTGTCGTCTAGGTCTGCTCCGGGGGGTGGGGTAAAGCAGTGGTGCTGACGCTCCAGCATGGCGGTCTCCTGCCTCGACAGCCCCGACAGCAGGCTGATGGCCGTCTTCGCAGCGGGGGAGTGGGGGGGGGGGGATAGAGTGACAGACGCGCTCATGTGTCCCGTGTCGCGTCGGCGGTACAAAGCGGTTGGTAGAGTTGTGGACTCGCGATAGCGGCAGCCGCGTCTGCTGCTTGGGGAGCTCGGGTAGCTCGACTCGTGAACTGGACCCTCGGTAGGCGCGTCAGCAAGGTGCTTCCTGTGGGACACGAGCCACGTGCAGGGAGTAGCTTATACTGCAATCGTTGAACAAGGCGTGTACTACAACTACTCATGAGTCTACTAAAAAGCAGAGTTGTCAACCCGTCGGGTCTGGCGCTGTGCGCGCACCGTTGTCATCGGCCGCCAGTGGCCGGAGTTGGCAACCCGCTCTGTACCGGTGCAATGCATCGCGTGGGTGGTCTACCCTCCAGGCGGCAGCTGAGGAACACAGCCGCTGTGCACGGTGTGCACACTTTCCCCGGCGCGCACGCGGTGTGCACAGGATACAGTGTATCACGGGGTTCGGCAGGCGCAGTCGGACGCGTGTGGCTGCTACATTGTAGAAGGCACGGCGTTCTGCGTGCTTTCCATGACAAACGAACGTCATGAAAAAGGAAACGACTATCTTGTGTACTTTTACAGCACCCCTGCATTTATGTTCCAGGTGATCCCTGTAGCATACATGTTCTTGACCAGCAAACATGAAGATACATACCTCCATGCACTGCTTCGCCTGCGCCAGCTCGGTCTGCACGGCAAGACGTTCCTCACTGACTTTGAGCCGGCGCTCATGAACGCGACGCAGCGGGTGTTCGGTCGATTGCACGGCTTCTCTCTGCATGGGTGCCTCATACACTTCGTGTTCCGGGTGCACGAAGCCGTAGGGACGCTGCACCTCACGGAATTCTTCCGGGACACACCGTCAGCGCTCGTCATGCTCCGGCGTATGAGCGCCCTGCCGCGCCTTCCCGCAGCTCAGATGGGGGAGGGGTTCACTGCAGTGTGGCAGCAGTTCCGGCACACAAACCCCGACCACTACCCCACAGTGTTCCCCTTCCTCATGTACTTTCATAACCAGTGGATGGTGCGAGTGAAGCCCCGACGTCTTAGTGTGTACCAGTTGTACCACACTACCACGAACAATGTTGAAACCAACCACCGGCACTTTCGCAGGTTCATCACAACCCCCGTACCCAACGCGTGGGATGTGACAGGTGAGCGTAACCCTTTAGGGTAATAGAGAACACTCTGGTAACCCAAAAGTGTGGATGTAGGTGTGTGAATCACTATTCTTACACTAGGAGGCTTCAGTAAAAGAAATTCAAAGCAAAATTCTCACTTCCAATCCGTCAAGTGCACGAATGATCATTCACTCACCTACAAGTGTGCGACATTTACACACTTGGGTTTCCACCGAAACATTAGAAGTATTCCCATGGCAATGTTACTCTTTTGATTCAGCTGCCATCCAGCAAGTCCACCAGCAGGCGACACTCACCCTGGGTAGGTTTCAAGGAAACCTGCCAACAGGCCGGCTGAGAGGTCAGCCTCTCATAATGAGTGCATCCAGGGTCCGGCGCGCCGAAAGGAGGCTGGCAGCCGGCGGAGGCGGTGCTGACGTCCTCCAGTTCCTTGACACCGTCAGCCACGCTATGGAAAATGTCATCAGAGACTTGGAGCGGTGGGCCGTCCCTGCTGAGAGGGACCAAGTGCCTGCAGATGGGGTTGGGCCACCACTGCCTGAGGATGAGCCAAACGACCCCAATGTTCCACCGCCACCACCTCAGCCTCCGGGTGACCAGGGGCCTCC